TCACCCCGAGGTAAGTTGTATGAACTCGTCTTGGTATTGGAACTGACCGGCAGCAGCGGTCTCATGATTCAAGATACTGCTCGTTTAATCGTTGCTCAGCTTCTCTTTTGTTTGGGTTCTTTCAACGTCGTTGGAGCAAGAGTCGGTAGTCAAGCTTCAGTACCGCATGAAGATATGGCTTCAGTCATCGCACTTCTAACACTCTGGTCGACACTAGGATCTTCAATTGGGTCAGCAGTGTCGTCGGCAATCTGGACGAATGAGATGTTAGATCAAATGTACATGGAGATGCCTGGAGTTGACGGTAAGACAGTTCGTACACTGTATGGGAATATCAAGAAGCTCCGTACCAGCTACGACTTTGATGACCCCGTCAGACAAGGAGCTATCCGAGCATATTCCTATGTTAATGGTCATATCGCAATTGCGGCTCTTGTTCTGTCGGCGATTCCACTGTTAGCTACCTTGTTCATGCCGAATTTCTATTTAGGCGAGCAGCAGAATGCTGTCACAAACACAGGCTTGGATGGAGAGAGGATTGAAGTACCAACCCGAGGTGGAGTTGTGGGAAGCTCGTTTTGGAAGAGGTTGACGGCGTTCTATCACAAGGAATCGTAGACAGGGCAAAATACAGCTAGGCCGCAATTCTTTGTAGCGATCACACTTCGAGGCGTTTCTTGTACCATACGTCCTGCGAGTACAGTTTCCTCTACTCGAGTAATGTTCAGCACAAAAAAGCCTTCAAATCTGCCGATTCTCTTAATGTCTTCCATGGATTCATGTATTCAAAACAAACTAAAATCCCTGCCCTGCTAGCCATCTTTCCACACCTGGATGATCTCGTTCAATCCATTTCATCCTCGCTTCAATTCCCGAAGTAGCTTCCTCGAAAGTCTTCTTAAACTTTTCCTAATTTTACAGTCAGCTTCACATTCCTGACAAATTAGCACCACCCCCATCAGACCTACCTCAACACCCAACGCAAAAGCCTTCACTTCTTCCAATTGCTCGGCTGTTGAGAGACTACCCGTGCAACTAGCAACATATCTACAAATGCCCACCCTATCCACTCTCCCAAAGTTATCCCACTTCTCCTTGAGCCATGTCCAGGAGGCATCAGCTCCAGCATAGTGCGTTTGCAGAGCGTTTAATAAGAACCACTTCTCTAGTCCGGAAAATGGCTCGCCTACTTGTGTCAGAAGCTTGAGTGTTTCTTGAACCAGCTCTGGGCTGTCTGCATAGCCAAGAGACACGAAAGCGTCGGTTCGCAATTCTGGATCTCTTGTGGTACGAGCGATTTTCAAGACAGATTTGTACTATGAGAGAGCACATCCACTTATCAGATTCGTTACATCGAGGTTTCAGCTGTGGACGTGTACTTACATGGTCATCGACGACAGCTTGAAACACGTGCTTCCGAATATTGGGGTTGAGCGCTTCTTCATTCCCAGATTTGAACTCGTTGAAGAGTTTCTCGGATCCAGCCTTGAGGTGCTCATACCGAATCCCCTCAGCATAAAACATCGCTTTTTCATTCTGAATATGAATCGGGTCTTTAGACCCAATCTTCCAAACGTCCTCAGGAGAATTGGCCAGGAAGAGATGTTTGTGGAAATTCTGCAGTCCTGTCCGAGTCTTAGGGGACGAGAATAGGAATGCTTGTCGGATCTTGCCAAGGACGAAGAAGATCTGTCTCCAGACGAGGAAGTGATGGTCCTTTGAGAAGCGGGACAGGAAGTTGAGAAGGTCGGCGGTTGTCATTGGGGTATTGAGACAGGATGAAATCAATGCGAAGGAATCGGAGATCAACCCTACCCAATCTTCTGAACCTAAATTGGATCTTGAAGTCTGCTTTTCAAACTCCTGGAATCGAGACAGTGGATAGGAGACCCGGTAAAGTCCAATCTGTCCCGCGTTGAGCTTGTAGGTTTCGAGATCTACTTGATATGTTCCCTTTCGCGAGGTCAACAAAACAGAGTCTTCTGATTGGCTTCCAGTGTTTGTCTGAAAGTTCAACGGAACGTGATAAATGTTCTTGTCTTCCTTGGGTGTGATCTCGATTGCTTGGAAGTACCGATGTTGCTCCAACGTGATCGTGCTTTTGGTGTCGTCTTCAGAAACCATGAGAATAGGATACCCAGCACATGCGGTCCATTCTTGCATAGTCCTGGCAACATCCTTTCCACTACCGGCAGCCAAAGCTACCCAGAGATCCTTAGTCTTAGCATTTCCAAAAGCATGCTCTTTCAAGTACCGTCTTACTCCATCCACAAAGACATCCATCCCCAAGAAGTTCGACAGCATTCTCAACAGAGCAGCGCCTTTCATGTACGTGATGTTATCAAAAAGCTCATGTATCCGATCGGGTGAAGCGGTGGGATTGTAAACTGGATGGGCCCCTGGTGTTGAATCAATATCCAGTGCTCCTTGATAAAATGCCATTGCCTCAGGATCTGGATCCGCAGCCACAAAGTGCAGCCAGTATTTCCATTCGGGAAACATCTTATCGACGACGGTGAAGCCAGCCCATTCGGCAAAGGCCTCATTGAGCCAGAGATCGTCCCACCAGCCCATAGTCACCAGGTTGCCAAACCATTGGTGAGCGAGCTCGTGGCAGAGCGTTTCAACAGCCATTTGCATGGACTTGGCGGCTGTGGTGTCGGGGTCGAGAAGAAGCCAGCGCTCACCGAAGACGATACAGCCCCAGTTCTCTAGTGCACCTGCGTCAGGGAGAGCAATCAAGTCTAGCTTGGGAAGAGGATATTCGAGGCCAAAGATGCGCTCGTAGTGGCCAAGAGCATTGGTAGCGATGCTCAACATGTTCGACGCATGCTTGATCTTTGCCCCCTTCACAGCATAGACCCTTACTCGGAACTTGAGCTTAGTCGACTCGATGAAATCAAAATCTCCAACAACGAAACATATCAGATAGGTCGGCGTTTTTGGCATGGTGCTGAAGGCGACCCGCTTCGAGATTTGTCCTTCGGATTCAGAATGCGTGACCTCGGACGAGCGAACGTCCATATTGCTCACGCATGTCAGATCTTGGTTGATAGTGATCGTGGAGGAGACTGTAGCTTTGAACTCGGGTTCATCGAAGCATGGAAAAACACAACGTGCCCCGACTGGCTCAAAGCTGGTCGAGTATGCCCGTTTCTTTTCACCTTTGGCATCTATGTAGCCCGTCCATGCAAAGCCTGGAGTCCTTCCATTCTCTTTGATGGTCCCATGGAAAGATTGGCGAACCGTCACTTTTGAGCCTGCTGTGAGGGGTTTTGATAGCGAAATTGTGATGGTCTGCTGTTCAATATTGTATTCTATTTCGGGAATCTGGACAATCTCGACTGGAGAGTACTCAATTTGGGTATTGGTGATCTTGAGTTCTCTCGCATGAAGAACGATGGATGACGTCTCTTCACAAGCATCGAGGTGAACGGAGACTGTGCCGTGAAAGGTTAAACCATCTAGATCTAAATTGAGATCTAGGTCGTAATGGCTTGGAACCACATTCTTGGGTAGACGTGCCATGGTCAACTGGAGTAACCAAAAGCAGAAGGTAAGAACTCGAATGGAAGCCAGAATGAGTTGTTAAACACGTCGCACAAAAACGGAGGGTGATTTGAAGAAACGAAAGCTTAGTCAGCTCATAAGGCTCCCCCACTTGTTCGAGCTTCCTAATGCGGTCCGGATGTACAGCATTTCCTTGCTAATGACAAGGTGTTGCTTATCATCGTTGACAGACAGTATATGAGTTTTCATTCCACAGTATACACAGTCAGCTTTTGAGTAATATGGATTCATATCTGCTTTACGTCATGATTTTCTCGATGTGTTCAGTTATACCTCGTAAATTCTTCTCGTGCATTATTGTCTGATACGTGCTGGAAAAAATAGAGCATAAAAGTAAATTCAAACTTCAAAGCTGAATTCCAAATGGCTAAAAGCGGGGGCTACAAAATCATAGCTCCGAAAGGCAATATCCACGTTCTCCCATCCATCCGTTTAGCAGCCGATCTACATTCTTGACATATAGCCGAAGTGATAACCTGCCCATTCCTTTCCCAATAGCATCACAACTCAAAAGCAGGGCAGTCTTTTGGTCTTGTGATGTCTGTCAACTTCTTCACATCTTGACCACCAACAGAGCCTGTGACCACAAGCTCATCAAGATGTGGTGGCATTGGCAGAAGCACAGCATCATCCGGCCGGACAATTTTCTCCCACTTAGCAGGCTCATCCTTTAACTCCACCTCCTCCTGCCAACGCATCAAGGCGTCAAAGTCCCGGCATAATTTCTTGGGACCAACATCTGGGAAGGGATTGTGCTGCGTGTGTCTCCAGTTATAGGTCAACATGTCCAGATCGGAGTTGCACATGATATTCTGACGCAGGATATCGATGCAGTGGTCAACATGTGACTCGAACATGACGGGAGGCTCGTAGTTGTAGACACTGCCCCAGTAGTAGTCGTAGTTCAGCACATTGGTTCTGCGAAGGGCGTCAAGACAATGCAACTGATGGAAAACGTCAATTTCCGACATGTAAGTGTCAGGGCCGTACCCCCATTCTGGCATGGTCTTGGCACACTCAGTTGCATTCTTGCCGATGTCTGTAACCTCTTGCTTTGTGAGAGCATGCATTCCGATATCTGTGTGTTTTTAGAGTTTTGAAAGTGCAAATGTTTTTGAATTCAGGGAAGTGACTTACGAGAGATGCGCTCCCACGCGGCATCAACCTCAGGGCTGGGTCGTCCTCGATAGATATGCTCTGGATTTCCAGGTTCTGGGAACAGAGAAGGATCAATCTTCTTCCAGATCATAGGAATGTCGATTTTGTCCATCACAGGGGCTAGGAGTCATTAGAGAAAGGGTTGTGATAAATGGATGAGGGTTATGACCTACAGTACGCAATTGGCTTTGTGTACGGACTTCCATGATCATTATGGCTGTGCATTGCCCAGGTCCCGAGCACGGCGCCATAGATACTAAGTCCATAGACCAACACAATAGTGACAATCCCTGCGGTATTGGCCGTGATGTACGGCAAGCGAGAACGGCGTGTTGTCTTCAGATAAGACATATCATAGCCTTCACTTTCCGCCTTCTCAGTACTCACGTCACTGAAGCGAGAGGAAAGATGTTCCTTCTCTTCATCATCAGTTACGGAGGAGTATGTGACTTTCTTCGCAAGCTTGGTTGGAAACCACATTGTTGAGTGATGGCTCAATATGGTGCAGATGGGAATGTGTGCTTTGTTGTTGAAAGGATCACCGAAAATATCTCCAAGTCTTGAATGTGTTTGGGAACTGGGATGAAGGCTGGGTTGGTTGTATTATAAAGCACTAGACTCGAATAGGATGGTGATAGATATCGGCATAAACGATGGCGACAGTTCTATTTTCTGCAAGCCTTATCGTCTGTGGCAAAGGAGCAATCTATTCTACACATGCTATCAACGTAAGGCAGAGACATGTCAAGTCCACGGCTGATCGGTAGATCAAATGCATTCCTGCAAGTGGGTCCGCTGCAACTTCCTCCGTTCTTGATCGTATGAGAATTGCATGAGAATTGACATAAGTGGATGTCAAACCACCTCCTGCCTTCTTTGGTCAGAAGTAC